GCAGACCAGACTCTGAGGAAAAGTCCATCAGACTTTGTTGATGCTTTTGGAGACTGTGAATCTTCTCCTGAGGTAGGGACATACATTGTTGATATCACTAAAATACCTTTCAGTATTTTTACAAAGCTGCCCTGTCATATTTAGTTTTGGGCTTTAAAAATCTCATTTTTACAGTGGCTTGGATTTATTTTGTGATCATGAAATTACGTACTCTTTTGTTAAGAATTTTACTTTTTGCTCTTCAGTAGCATACTGATGTTGCAACCTTATGTTACATTACAAATATTGTTTGCTCACGTCATCTCGCTTTAAGCTGTATTTGAAAAACATTTCAAATGAGGCCTCTGTCCTTGGTGCTGAATTCTCTTTCATGGCCTCATGTTTTTTCATGTATCATCTTCTTAGTTTAGCTTTTCTGTCCATTTTTTCTTTTCCTTGATTAGTTTTATTTTCATGGGTTTTCTTTAGTACTACTTTTTTTTCTAAGTTGATGTCAAGGTTTAGTTTTGATTAAGTTGTTGGTTTGATGTGATATAATTCTCAGTACCCTTTTTTAAAATAATGCTACAAAAGGAGTTTGTTTTTTCTTCATTAGTTGTGAGAACACAGTGAACAGAAAAAGTGAGTTTCTTTATTTGTTTTGTCTGACTATTGCTTCATGTATCTGTGGTAGTCTTTGGTGAGGTTAGTGTTATTCATGAAGTCATTGCGGTAGTTTTTTGATGCAGTGTGTTCTTTCAGTGCAATTTTGTAGTTTTTTATCTTTTTTCACACATTTTATTCAACCCCAAATACTATTCAAACCTCATTTAAGTTTTTTGGGATGTTGCTATTACACCTAGGCAATAATTTTCCAATCTTTATACTCCATGTATCTGTTTTGATTTTAAAAGTCATATTTTATTCAATAGGTCTGACTACTTTGGAAAGTATTGTGGCAGATGTCACATACTTTTTGAACTTTGGGTTCCACTGATATGTCAATAAACAAGTGTGCACACAGAAGACAGTAATAGAAAAGAGGCATTCATCGATTAATTCAAATGGAGGTGATTGCCAGAGCAAAGGCTCTTGCAGAAATATTGATTGTTATTTTTGTCAAACTCAATTTTTTTCTTATTTGTTCCAGTTACTTATTGCAGTCTTCTTTTTTGGGGGCTTTGTGACAGCTTTTGCTCTGCCTCTCAAAGTATGCCAAACATCGGAGTTTAATCAGTGAACAATAGCACTGTGTTTAAACTGTATCTAAAATAATCTGCTGTCACGGATATACACAACAACTGCAGGAACAAATGAAATTATTGCATTTTGTTACTCATCACGGTAGATTAAAGCATTCCTATAAAGTACTTTTCTGATGTTTAGTCTCCTCTAGTCTTAGAAATCTTGGGGGACAATCATTATTTCAAATGTAAAACAAACCATCATTATAATCTTTAGTTGTTATACCTTAAAAAATACTCATGGTGTCAGTGTGTACCAGCAAACGAGAAGTCAGGCTTATTCTCCACCCTTCTGTGTCGACGAATTCACAGCCTGATTCTGCCATTGTGCTGCAGTTTGCAAAACGCTTCGTGATCTGACCGCACCGTGATGATTTTGAATAAAGGAGAAAATCAGTAATTAGAGGTATTTTTATACATTAGAGACAGTTGTGTTTTTCCAGATGGTAGCAATGGGATACACTGCATTTGAGCTGCACTGCGGCCTTGCTTTTGTTTTTCTTGTCCTCCTTCCCGTCAATGGAGACGTGAGCTACTCTATTCCCGAAGAGATGAAACGTGGATCTGTAATCGGAAATATCGCAAAGGATCTGGGACTTGATTTGGGGAGACTGACTGCTCGCAAGGCCCGTGTTGATGCTGAGGATAACAACGTACAATACTGCGGGGTTAATCTGAATACCGGCGAGCTGATTGTCCAGGAAAGGATTGACAGAGAAGGGCTTTGTGCGAAAAAGGCATCGTGTGTTGTGAAGCAGGAGCTGGTATTGGAGAATCCTCTAGAACTGCATCGTATTAACATCCGCGTTCAAGATATAAACGATAATTCACCACAGTTTAAACAGGAAACACTGAAATTTGAAATTCACGAATCAGAAGATAAAGGTGCACGGTTTCTTGTTGGAGAGGCGCACGATGGAGACATCGGAGAAAATTCTGTTCAGAGCTACTCACTCCAACAGAATGATCATTTCAAATTAAACGTGAACACGAAGGCAGGTGGACGAAAATACTGTGAACTAGTCTTAGACAAAGAATTAGACAGAGAAGACAAAAAGGAAATTGAGCT